TATCTCAAAGATTGAGTCTCCAAAGAGTCTCACATCTGGAGCACTGACTTGTCCTCAGACTAATGCTCATCACATGGTAAGATGTTGGCCATGACCTGGCACCACAGCCATATACAACAGTGTCTGTCATTCCAGCGGCCTCTAGCAGAGGCCCTTCAAGTCTCACTGCTCAGGGGTGGGTCCCTGTGATGCTTGTTTTGGGTATCTCAAACCAACACAATAAGCAACATGGTAACTGGTACAGTCTGCTCTGGTCAATCTGTGCAGTGGGGAGTTAGGCTGGATGCTGGTCATGGGATAAGTGCTGATCATCTCCCACAGCCCCACGTAGTTAGCGCTTGCTCTCCAGAGTGGCACTAATTGGTGGCGCCAAAAACACATAGGTGGACCCAGTGGGAGGCCTTTAGGCTCCCCCAAGAGGCTTGTGGAACACCAGCTAATTCCCTTTTCTCTTCCTCTTCTCAGCCAAAAGGGGAGATTTTATCCACCTCGGGCTTGCACCACGATGGGCACTCTCCCCACAGGCCCAGAGCAAAGTGCCTACTGATTCTGGGCCAAAACCTCTAAAATGTATTTTGCTGTTTTGAGACAGGGTTCCATTCTGTAGTCTGGGATGGCCTGGAACTTATGTAGCCTAGCTGTGGAGATCACCCTGCCTCAGCTTCCCCATGCTGGGATTTCAGGTGTAAACCACCATGCCCAGGGAATCTTTTCTTTATAGGTTGGCTTAGTTCAGCTACTTGCTATAGTAAGGGAAAGCTGACTAAAACACAAGATGCCCCCAAAGTCAAGGAAATGTAATATTTCAAGAGAGAGAAGCTGGATATGGTGGCACAAGCATTTAACCCCAGTCTGTGGGGCCACGACAGGGGGGATATCAAGTTCAAGGCCAGCCTGAGTTCACGGCAAGGGCCTGATTAAAACCAAGCTTTAAAAAAGTAAATGACAGGGCTGGAGAGATGGCTCAGAGGTTAACAGTGCTGACTGCTCTTCCAGAGGTCCTGAGTTCAATTCCCAGCAACCACATGGTGGCTCACAACCATCTGTAATGAGATCTGGTTCCCTCTTCTGGAATGCAGACATACATGGAAGCAGGATGTTGTATTAATAAATAAATAAATCTTTAAAAAAATTAAATGACAGATAAAAAGAAAGCGGGGGACATCAGCCATGTCAAATGCTGCAGTGTAGTCAAGCCTGACCATGAAAAAGCACTGACGGAAGAGTGTCCCAGAACAACCCTGGGGAGAAGGAGGGCACAGGCTGCAGAGATGGCTCAGGGGTTGACAACCGCTCTTCCAGAGGACCCAAGTTCGGTTCCCAGCACCCACATCATGCAGCTCACAAAAAACTGTCACTCCAGCTGGGCGGTGGTGGCAAACGCCTTTAATCCCAGCACTCGGGAGACAGAAGCAGACGGATCTCTGTGAGTTCGAGACCAGCCTGGTCTACAAGAGCTAGTTCCAGGACAGCCTCCAAAGCCACAAAGAAACCCTATCTTGAAAAACCAAAACAAACAATAAACAAAAAACTGTCAGTCCAACTCCAGAGAGATCCGATGTCTCAGGCCCCCATGGGTACCTGCATTCATGCACACATAGCCCAGAGACACACACACACACACATACATATAGTTTAAAATAAAATCTTCTTTATAGAGAAAAATCCAGGCTTAGTGGTGCACACTTTTAATCCCAACACTTAGGAAGCAGAGACAGGTGGATCACTCTGGGTTTGAGGTTGCCCTGGTCTACAAAGTGAGTTTCAGGACAGCCAGAGTTACAAGGTGAGATACTCGCTCAAAAACAATAACAACAAAACAAATGACAGTCTTTGTTTTCTGCTGCTGTGATAAAAAACACCCTAACTAAAAACAGCTTGGGGAAGAAAGGCTTTATTTAACTTATAGGTTACTGTCCACCATCAGGGGAAGCCAGGACAGGGACTCAAGGCAGGAACCTGGAGGCAGGAACTGATACAGGGGCCTTAGAGGGTGCTGCCTACTGGGCTGTGCCTCAAAGCTTTCCCAGTCTGCTTTCTTACACCACCCAGGACCACCTGCCCAGGAGTGGCACTGCACACAGTGGTCTGGCCCTTCCCACATCAATCCTTAATCAAGAAAATTCCCCACAGACTTCCATCAAGCCAATCTGATGGAGGCATTTTATTGAGTGTCCCCTTCCCAGATGACTCTAGCTTGTGTTGAGTTGACATAAAAACCACATCAGGACTGGCACTCATGTGATTACAGCTGCCATGGGGGTCTGCACAGAATCTGTACAAGATGAATTCAGTCAACATTCCTGCATGGAGGAGGTGGTATGTGAGCTCTCAACCCTAGCTGAAGAGCTATTAACAGTTGATGGTCTTTGCAGGAGGAAGACCCAAATTTTCTTTAGGGTCAACTTTGCTCCAGCGGATGGCGCCACACCCGCGAGTATATGGGCAATAAAAACTGGATTCAGTGGATGAAGAAGCGGGAGGAGGGTGGCAGTGGCACACACTTTTAACCCTGGCATTGGAAGCAGAGGCAGGCGGATCTCTGTAAGTGTGAGACTAGCTTGGTCTACAGAGTGAGTTCTAAGACAGCCACAGTTGGGAGGAAGTGAGAGAGTGGAGAGTGAAACTGGGAGAGGTTAGGCAGGGGAGTTGGGGGAGAGGAATATGGTCAAAACACATTATATGCATGTGTGGAGTGCTGTGGCATCCTTCTGTACACTGTGAAGATTCGTTGCTGTGATTGGTTTAATAAAGAAACTGACTAGCCAATAGCTGAACAGGCTAAGGTTAGTAAGAAGAGCCAGACTAGGAGAATGCTGAGGAGGAAGGGTGGAGAGGAGTCACCAACCAGATGCAGAGGGAGCAGACAAATGTGCCATGCTAATAAAGGTACCACCATGTGGCTGAGCATAAATAAGGAATATGGATTAACTTAAAATGTAAGAGCTAGTTAATAATAAACCTGAGCTATTGGCTGAGCATTTATAATTAATATTAAGTCTCCGTGATGATTATCTGGAAGCAGGCAGTCAGGACAGGAAAACTCTGCCTACAGTGGAATACCCAAAAGAATTCATAAAAACATTTTTTAAAAACCTACAAAAGCTTTCTTTGCAAGGGATTTGCATGATTGTTCATAAAGGGTATCCCCTCATTGGAGGTAACTCTTCTTCTTCACAGCCTCAGGCTGGCCCCATACAACCTCTATGCAACCTTCATGAAAATTGGAAGAGAAAAGGTCAAGCTGCTACTAGTCAGCTAAACCTTCAGGCAAGGAGTACCAGCTGGGAGTTAAGACAGGCAGAGAACAGCCAGCCCTCCCCATATACCTTGAGTATAGAAGGACATCTGCAAGCAAACTCCAGGCATAGTTAGCAGTGGGACAGCTGCACAGCTGTCACTTATAGTTACATGACCCTTTTTCTATTTCGTTTATTTAGTGTGTGTGCATGGATACATGTGTGAATGCCACCGAATGCATGAGGAGGTTCAGGGACAACTTACTAGAGTCTGTCACCTCTTTCTATTGCGTGGGTCCTGGGGATTGAACTCCAGTTGTCAGGCTTGGTGCTCAATGCCTTTACTGCTGAGCCACCCCACCAGCCCTCATTTATTAAGACAGAACCACACAGGCCAAGAGGCAGATGCTGAAGGCTCACTGTGTGAGGAACTGCTACACACACTAGGGAGCTTGGCAGGTTAACTGGAGGGCCCTTTGCAGAACAACGCATCCTTGAGTTGGGTGCAAGTGCATGGATCAATATTAACAAGTGGCATCCACTGAGTACTGAGCTCATAGACTGGATGCAATCCCATCAAAATCTCAGTGGACTATCTAACAACAATGAAACACAAGAAGATTGAAATGTATATAAAGAACAAGGGAGCTACAAGAGTCAAAATAATATTCAAATTGAACCCAGTTGGAATATTTGGACTATGTGAGATCAAGACTTAATCATAGGGGCTGGCAAGATGGCTCAGTAGCTAAGAACACTGGCTGATCTTCCAGAGGACACAGGTTTGATTCCCAGCATGCACATGGTGGCTCATAACCTTTTGTAACTCCAGTTCCTGACACCCTTTTCTAGCCTCCATAGGCACCAGGCATGCACAGACATATATGAAGGTAAGATATCCATACACATAAAGATAATAAAATAAAAATAATTACAAGGCTGCATTATCTAGACAGTATGATACTGGTTCGAGTACACTCAAGTGGAACAACAAGCAGTATAATGGGGGTTCAGAAATAGTCACACATATATAAAGTTGTTAGGGTCTTTAAAAAGTTCCGAGTTAAGGGCTGGAAAGATGGCTCAGTGGTTAAGAGCACTGACTGCTCTTCCAAAGGACATGAGTTCAATTCTCAGCACCCACATGGTGGCTCATGATCATCTGCAATTCCATTAGAGACCTGAGGCCCTCCTCTGTGGGCACTGCATGAACATGGTGCACATACATACAGGCAGGCAGGCAGAACATCCATACACATAAAATTTTTAAATAAAAAAAGTTCTGAGTTAAGCAGGCATGGTAACTGTAATCCTAGTATGTGGAAGGCTGAGACAGGAGGAGGATTGGGGGTAGAGGCCAGCTTGAGCTACACAAGTCCTTGTCTCAAAAAAGAAAGTGTTGAATGAAGGCCATGAGGAAAAGATGTCTTCTTGATGGGAGTTTGTGGAACAACTGGAAATCCATGGGGGGGGAAAGTTGACCGCTATCTAACTTTGCTCACAAATGAATTTGAGATGGGTTTTGAACCTAACCTTAAGACTCAAGATCATATAGATTCTTTTTTTCTTTCTTTTTCTTTTTGGAGGGGGATGGTTTCAAGACAGGGTCTCTCCATGTAGCCCTGGAACTTGCTCTGTAGAGCAGGCTGGCCTTGAATTCACAGAGATCCATCTGCTTCTGTCTCCCGAGTGTTGGGATAAAAGGCATGCGCCACCACCACCCGGCTCACATAGCTTCTAGAACAAAAACATAGCACTCACCTTTTTGTCATGTGTGGTAGCATTGTTCATTGTGTCCAGTTCATTGGACTGGACACAAAAGAAAACATCAACAAAATGGCTTCATTAGAATTTTCAGTTTCTGTTTATCAAAAAGACGATAAGCGGGGCTCAGAGACGTTTGGGTGGTTAAGAACACTGGCTGCTCTTATGTGGGAAGCTGTCTTTTCGGGGCTGAAGGTGTAGATGGTAGAACATCTGCCCAGCGTAGCATTCATGAGGCCCTAGTTTCACTCCCTAGTACAAAACAAACAAAAAATAAGCAAGTCAGTGGGTAAGGATGGCTCAGTGGGGACCCCTGGCATCAAATCGGGAGACCTGTGGTCCATCCCCAGGACATACACAGTGGAAGGAGAAAACTGCCCCCTTGGATTCCATAGGCATGCTATGGCACACGTATGCACACACAGAGTAAATTTAAAATGTTTTGTTTTGTGTTTTTGAGACAGGGTTTCTGTATGTGACCTGGCTGCCCTAGAATTTGCCCTGTAGACCAGGCTGGTCTCAAACTCACAGAGAAATTTAAAAATTTAAATTCAGCTTTAAATAAAGCAAACAAGAGAGATAGAGGTAAGAGTGGGAAGGGAGTGAAGGTTTTGTGTGTGTAAGGCAAGCACTGTAACATATGAGCTACATCCCAGACATGACACATACTACATACTGCTCATTACGAGTCAGTCAACAAACTCACCCAGATTGGAGGGGAAGAGAGCCTGACTGTCTCCTGTGGGAATGGTGAGACCCCAGGAGGACTTGTGGGATAACAAATACTATGGCAGCTATACTTAGTTTTGGTTGTTGTGGTCTTTAGACAGTCTCTCTGTAACCTGGCTCAGAGTCAGTTTGGAGCCATGGGTGACCCTGAACTTCCTCATCCTTTTGTCTTCCCCTTCCAAGTCCTGGGACTGCAGGCATGTGTCACCAGGGCCAGTGTATGGGGTGCTGTTGTTAGGCAAGCACTGTGCCACCTAAGCTTTACCTCAGGCTTTGGCAGCCATGTCTGGATAATCCGACCTGTGATGGCTAACCCTGAGAGAAAAGTCAGCAACAGGTCATACCAGGCCTTTTGAGTTACATTAAGGAGCTTAGTCTTTTTAAATCTGTGGTGCTGGGTGGGCGGGACACTTGGGTGTCCTACATGTAAGTGTCCTACCACTGAGCTACATTCCCCAGGCCATGAGTATTGCCTTAGAATTGTCCTGGGTGGGGTGGGGTATGAGGAGGCGGCTGAGCAGTTCACAGCACATACTGCTCTTGCAGAGGACCCGATTTGGGTTCCCAACACCGCAGCTCACGGTCATCTGTAACTCCAGTTCCAGAGAGTCTGGTGCCTGGTCTCACCTCTGAGACAGCATAGGAGAGGAGGGGATACGTCAGTGTCAGCCCAGTGACCAACAGTCTCTGCTTGGGCTTGCCTTGTGCACCCTGGGTCACACCAGGGCTCAAGAAGATTAAAAACACACATGTATACAGGTAGAGCAACAAGAGGTACACATATATACATTCAGGTGAAACACACAAAATAAAACTTAATAAATCTCATTTTTTTTAAAAACAGAAAACAGTTTGTAGGAGGTGCCAGGACTGGCGGCTCTTATCTGTAATCCTAGTTACTGGGGTAGCTAAAGCAGGAAAACCGTGAGTTCCAGGCCTGCTGGGTTGCAGTGAGAGTTTCAGACCATTCCTGTGTGGGGGGAGGGGGGTATCAATAGCTCATGCCTGTAATCCCAGCCCTTGGGAGAGGGTGCAAGAGGATGGGGAATTCAAGGTCAGCCCGCTCAAACTCCATGAAACCCTGCTTCAAAAGAAAAAGAGATAAATATCATTTTAAATGGCAGAACCGAAGGAGATATGTCAATGTCAGCCCAAGCATTAACAATCTCTATGCTGTTTTGCCCTGTTCACCTTGACACACCAGGTCTCAAACCGAAACACGCATGCGTACAGCTAGAGCCACAGGCGGCCCCTGGCGGCAATTTTGTGGTTGCGCTTGCGGCGTCGAGCGGTCGCCATGGAGACGCGTGGCCAGGCCGGCAGTGAGTGCCTGGAGACCGCCCGGCGCGGGTCCTCGGCTGTTTCCGGCGCAGGTCGCTGTCCCGCGGGCGGATGGCCGGCCGCGATGGGACCGGGGCGGCGGAGTATGGAGAGGAGGGTGAGGACGAGGAGGAGGAGGAGGCGCGGGAAGGAGGCGCTGAAGGCTCCCCCGGGTCCAAGCTGCCTCCCATTGTGGGCACCACCCCTGAGCTGGCCAAACGGAAGGTGAAGAAGAAAAAGAAGAAGAAAAAGACCAAAGGTTCGGGCAAGGGCGACGGTAAGAGGAGCAGCTAACGAGGCAGCTTTGGTTCTTGGACCTGAGATTCCTCTCACTGATGCCCCTCTACCTGGAAATCACCCCAGGCCAGAAACAGACACCACACCCTGACAGTGATCCCCTAGACTCTACACAAGACACGTTGGGGCAGCCCAGAGACGCTCAGCCCTACTCTTAAAGACCACACGCTCACCACCACAGAGACCCCTTTATTACCAAGGAAGTCTCTACCAACTTTAGCCCCAATACATCCAAAGAGCCCACACCCTCCGCTGAAAACCCTCACTATCTAAGGATCCTCCACTCCACAAGAGACCCCCACAGATACCCACCCCAAGAGCCTCCAGCCTGACCTTTCTGTACCCACCTCCTCTCAACTTGCTAGCCTCTCAGGCAAACACACCCTTCCAAACAGACTTCTCGAGGTTTGGAGTGACAAAGAGACTAGCCCAGATGGAAAGACACTAGCTGATACTCCCACACAGGAACAGACTCCAGGCTCCCCTCTGGTAGGAATCGCCCCATGTAGATAAATGTAAACAGTTTCTTCCCTGAATGGACTCCACCGGGGGGGACAGCTGTGGACTGTGTAGACTCACATCAGTCCCTCCCCATCCTCCTGTTATCACCCACACTGTTTTCTTTTGTTTCTCTTTGGAGCCCTGGTTGTCCAGGAACTCCCTCTGTTGGCTTGGCTGGGCTAGATCTCAAGAGATCAGCCTGCCTCTGCCTCCCAAATTCTGGGATTAAAGGTGTACACCACCTGTTGTCACTGACACTCTTTACTCTGCCTTCCTACAGCAAATATGACACTATCCAACAAGTGTGATGCTCCGTCACGCACACACATGTAGTCTACACACATGGGGCTTTGGTTAGGCACTTGCTTGCATAGATGCCAACACAAATTGCATACCTATTTACTAGACACTCACATGCATAGATACACCCATATATCATACCCATACAGGTATTCTAGAAACATACATAGATCCCCTCAAACATCATACCCACACAGGTATTCTAGGCACTTACAGTCAGTCAGAGAAGTCCAGAAACATCACACCCACACAGGTACTCTAGTCTTGCTCACCAAGACCTTCCCTTGTGTACACACACACACCAGCACCTTCCAGGAACCCAGAGTCCCTGCCTCTCCCTACATTCAATCATAGAACCCCAGATATCCCAGCGAAGACCCCTAATGCCCACTCTGAGGAAGACTGCAGTAGTGAAACAAAATGATCCCGCCTGGGAGTGATGTGACTCCAGTGTCCCCGTGTGACTTTGGCCAGCAGGAAAGTGGCGCTGACCTCTGGCATGGCTAGTCCCGGACTCAGGTGTTGGGTGTTGGCTGCACGTGCAGAGTGTGTAGTGACAGGGGCGTCCCACAGTGCTGTGGTTTGGGGCAGGAGCAGTGGAGGGTTCAAATGACTTCATCAGGCAGAAAGGGACTAAAGGGAGGGCAAGGCAACGAGCCCTCTGTGTGCCAGCAAAGACGGAGATTGTTTCATCTCTTTGGTGCAACTTTTGACTGCAGGAATTACAGTGTTGTGTATCTCAAGACAGTCAGCAGGGGACACCAGATAGTTTTCAGAGAATAGGAAGAGGAGGAAATGTCAAGACTGAACTTTATTTATTAATATAATATTGTTGCCTTTATCCTCCCACAGCTTGCCTTCTGGAGATATTTATAAAATAAAATAAAACTGAGAGAGGGGCTGATGAAAGAGTCACCATTTATAGCATTTCACAGGCAATTCTGCAGTGCTGTTAATGTGAAAAGAGGGGAGGGAGGGAGGGAGGGAGGGAGGGAGGGAGGGAGGGAGGGAGGGAGGGAGGGAGGGAGGGAGGGAGGGAGGGAGGGAGGGAGAGCAGGAGAATGCAAGGCCACATAGAATTGTCCCTGGGCTAGGTGTGTAGCTCAGTTGATAGAATGTTTGCCCAGCACCCACAGAGTCCATCCTCAGGACACCAGAACCCAGGAGTGCTGGCATATACTTGCATTTCTATCAGTTGGAGGTGGAGGCAGGAGGAGTCAGCCTGGGGCTATGTGAGCACTTGAGAAGCAGATCTCTGTGAGTTCAGGGCCAGCCTGTTCTGCAAAGCAAGTTCCAAGGACATCCAGAACTGGTACACAGAGAAACTCTGTCTCAAAAAAAAAAGGGGGGGGGGGGAAGGAAAGAGAAGACAAGAATAAAAGAGGGCCTGGAGAGATGACTCGATCACAGTTATGTGTGACTCCAGTTCCAGGGCATCTGATGCCCTCTTCTGACCTCCTTGGGCTCCAGGAATGCACATGGTGCACAGACAATGTTCAAACAAAGCATTTATATATAAAAAATAAGTAAGTCTCTAAAAACATTTTAAAGAAAAGAAAGAGCATTTCCTGGTTCAGTATACTACTGCCTACATTATTTGATGTGGGAACCCCCCCTTTCACCATACATTGTCTAGAAGGGTGGAGTCACAGACGTGGGAAGAAGTTTGGTGAACGTGCATGAGGTTAAGTTAGGGGACAACAGATACAGTAGGAAGAACAGGACACCAGGCGTCAGGAGGACCTTCAGATCTGGCCTCTCTCTGCCCCTTAATGAAGCTTTAGGGTCTCTTGGTTCCTAGGTTGGGGTGTAGTTTTGTGGCAGAGCTTGCTTAGCATGTACAAGGCGTGGGTGCACCCACAAAAAGAAAAAGGTGTCTGTTGTCCCAGAATACTTGAAGGAAGCATCCAGGCAGTAGCCACCCCAGGTTCCTGCCATCTGAACCTTGACTAAAGGCAGGCCCGTCCTTTACGTCGTTGGTGATTTGGGCATTCTAGCAGGTACAAACATTTATCTCCTCACCTCCTCAGCAGATAAGCACCACAGTCGAGGCAGGAAGAATCAGCCGCTTTCTTCATCTTTCCACGACATCTTAAATCCCCACAAAGACCATGGCTCGAAGGCAGAGACCAGAGACAAAGAAGAGGCAAGGCATAGCCTTCCATATTCATGCGGCATGAGTCACCCCTACTTTGCCGAAATAGAAGAGAACCTTTCGAGCCAGATCAACGAGAGTCTGCGTTGGGATGGGATTCTGACCGACCCTGAGGCGGAAAAGGAAAGAATCCGCATCTACAAGTTAAACCGGAGGAAGCGGTACCGGCTCATGGCCCTCAAGGGCTTCCACTCGGATCCCTGCACGGAGGAGAGCGTGGAGAACCTGCCCTACCTCTCAGACAAAGACTGCGGCCCCAGCAGCAAGCAGTCCAGCTCCAAGGGCGACCATGCGCATAGCTTCTTTGAGGCCACAAACCTCCTGCACCCCGAGTTAGCCACCACTGCAGCAGAGTGACATCTGTCCCCAGCTGCCAAGCTCCTCCTTGCCACACGTTTATATGTTTAAAAAGAATCATAATAAAAAGAAATCAGACCAGAACCTGAAGGAAGCGGATGCTTATGATGGGGGGCCTGGTGCTCAGGTACCAAGGAGTCGTCTTCCTTCTTAAGAAAGGTGCCCCTGGGACTGCAGAGATAGTTCGGTGGTTAAGTGTGTATAGCTTTTGCAGAGGACCAGAGTTCTTTTCTGAGCACCCATCGGGCTGCTCACAACCATCAGCAGCAGGGGGATTTGATGCTTCTGTTTTCCTTTGTACGCGTGTGCACACACATATATGCAGGGTTAAAATGGTAAAAATTTGAATTTAAAAGAAGAAAAGCATTCCTTTCGTGAGCACAGTGATGATCCTATCAGAATTTCCTTTTTCTTGAGCTGTCATCTCTGTAATTGAATTTCTCAACAGTTTGATGTTCGTAAGTTGTCTGTAAAAAAAAGACTATGTGTAGGATGTACATATTCTGAATCTTAAGCTGACTTCCAGGATAAAACTCATATAGAGTGCAAATCCACAGGGGAATGCAGCCCAGTTAGGCATTAAACTCCTGATTCTCCTACCTCTACCTCCCAAGTGCTGGGATTATGGGTGTGCAGCACCACACCCAGTGAGAGAACTTTTTCTTTAAATACACTACTTGCTCTTATGTGCCGTTTAAAGCCTGGGTCCTTGGGAGCTAGGTCTTCCAGAGGACCCAGATTCAATCCCCAGCACCCACATGACCGCTTACAACCATCTATAATGTCCTTTTCTGGTCTCCACAGATACCAGTCATGTACACGGAACACATACATACATGCAGGCAAAACATACACAAAATAATAGAGAGAATAATAAGAGAAAAGGAGTGGGCTGAAGAGATAACTCAGTTGTTAAGAACACTTGTTCTTCCAGAGGACCTGGGCTGGATTCCCAGCACCCACAGGGTGGCTCACAACTGTCTGGATCTCCAGTTTCAGGGGATTCGGCAACACAACTTCTTTCCTCAGGTATCAGCTTGTGGTGCATATTTACATGCAAGCAAAACACCCATGCACATACAATAAAAAATAGGTTTTTTTAATTAACAAAAAAAATCTGACTTTCTAAAATGTAATCCCTGGGAAATCATTATGGGATTATGGGAGGTCCCAAGAGGAAGGTTACTGCTTTTATAGCCATTTGTGTATGTGTGTATGCGAATATATGTGTTACTGAGGACTGAACTTAGGACCTGGTATATGCAAATACTCTGCCACTGAGATAACACCCCAGTTAAGAAATTTTTGTGCATACATTATGTGTGTGTGTGTGTGCGTGCATGTACGTGCATGCATACATTTATTTATTTATTATTGTTTTGGCACACCTTCAGTCCCAGCACTTGGGAGGCAGAGGCACAAAGATCTCTGTAAGTTCAAGGCCAATCTGGTCTACATACCAAGCTCTAGGACAGCCAGGAGTATATAGAGACCCTTTCTCTCTCCTTTAATTTTATAAAGATAGGTTTACTTTCAATGTTTTTGGCACTGGCATTGAAACTAAGCATGCCAGGCAAGCACCCCACCACCAAGCTCTGCTCTTAGCCCTCTTTTTTACTTTTTATTTAAAATCTTTTAAGAATTATTTTATGAGCTGGGTGTTGGTGGCACGCGCCTTTAATCCCAGCACTGGGGAGGCAGAGGCAGGCGGATCTTTGTTAGTTCAAGGCCAGCCTGATCTACAGAGCAAGTTCCAGGACAGCCTCCAAAACAATACAGAGAAACCCTGTCTTGAAAAAACCCCAAAAAATTATTTTATGTGTATGGATATTTTACCTACATGTATATCTATGTTCTCACATGTGTGTCTGATGCCCTCTTCAGAGGCCAGAAGAGGGTGTAAAACATGTTCTGAATTTAACAAACAGTTGTGAGCCACTACATAGATGCTGGGTATTGAACCCAGGTCCTTTGGAGTATCAGCCAGAGCTTCTAACTGAGCCATCTCTCCAGTCCCATCTTTTTACTTTTTAAAAAAGATTTTAATTATATGTGTATGTGTATGGGTGTGTATTTATGCACATGGGTATGGGTGCCTATGGAGGCCAGAAGAGGACACCAGAGCCTCTGGGGCTGGAGTTCAAGGCAGCTGTGAGCTGCCTGATGTGGGTGCTGGGAACAGAACTCAGGTCCTTTGGAGGAGCAGTGGCTTCCAACTACTGAGCCATCTCTCAAAATAAAAAGTCACTTAAAGATGCCCATGTTAGCCTTGAGCTCACTTGGTAGCACAAGCAGGCTTTGAACTTTCAGCTCTTCCAGCTTCAGCCTCCTTAGTAGCTGGGATTGCAGGTCTGTGTCACCAGGCCTAACTTTAAGCAAAATTCTGGAACATTACAAAATGCTTTGCTTGTGGGAATTCCAGCACTTGGTAAGTGGCAACAGGAGAATTTACATGCCCCAGCTACATAAGGAATTTGAGTCTAGCCTGGGTTACATGAGACGTTGCCTCCAAATATATATATCAAAAACTTTTTTGCTGTGTTGCTTAAAGCACATACTTCTCTCCAGATACCTGCAAAATGTTTTTTTTTTTAGACAGTCTTCCATTATGCAGCTCAGGCTGGTCTATGAACTCAAGGTCCTCCTGCCTCTGCCTCTCAAATGCTAGGACTACCAGTGTGAGCTGCTGTGCTGACTAGTTCTTATTTATCCTGACAGGGAAGAAGTCTTCCTCCATAGGATTGGCTTGTGTGCAAATCTGGGGGCATTTTCTTAATTGGTGATTGATGTGGGCGGGCCCAGGCCACTGCGGGTGGTACCACCCTTAGGCAGGTGGTCCTTGAGTGAATATAAAACGGACTGAGCAAACCAGGAAGCTGCCAGTAAGCAGCACTCCTCCATCGCCTCTGCTTCAGGTTTTGCCTCCTTCAGTGATGCTCTGTTAGGGGGAGGGGCTTCTTGACCAGAGGGGAAATTGCCAGCTTGTATACTGGTGCCTCACAGGAAGTGGGCAAGAACTAATGCTGTCAGCAGCTGCTAAGTGTCTCCAGCTCAAACCACCTAGGCTGTGTCAGTGAGGACTCTTGCAGTGACAGCAAATAGACAACTGACCCAGAACTAGCTTGTTGATGAAGTGACTGATTTACAGCAGCCTAAGGTTGATGTGGTGTCAGGCATGGCTGGATCCAGAAGGTTGTTCCTCTCTGTCCATACCACCCCTCTGTTGCCTCTGTGTTTGTTTCATGTTTAGGTGGGCTATCACAGGAAAGCAAAGGCAGTGTCTGATATCTCTATAGTTCATTGAAAAAAAATAACTCCTATGTCCTCATCCACTGTCATATCAGTCTCAAAGGTTTCTGGTCTGACCAGGATCATGTGTCCATCACTGGGAGGACTCTAGCAGTCAGAGGAGTATTTGATGGATACACAGAGCGTGGTGAGGAGTGTGGTGGAGGGCAGAGAAGGGGAGGCCCCACTTCATGATCTGAACATATGGTTAGAGCATCTATATAGAGTGGTACCCTAGAGAGATGCTAAGTAGATTCATCTACTGACCTCCCAATAAAGAACGATTGCTATTTAATTAGTTTGAGACAGGATTTCCTTGTGCAGCTCAACCTGTCCTCAAACTCACTATCTTCCTGCATCCACCTCTCAAGGACTGGGATCACAGCGCACACCAGGCTCAGAAGGATTGATTTTTTTTAAGTCTGATCAAGGGTCGTGGGAGTGGCTTGCACACTACACTTAACTCCAGAGTGACTGACCCTTGGCCAATGCCAGGAGTCTATTTCCAGAAGAGCGACAACATTCTGCTGTCTGGGTCCATATAAGACTGCCTGACGGTTGGGTGGAGGGAGTGCCCCAGCCTTTAAGGCAGGTCACAGTCATGTGACCACCCCCCCTGACTCAACAGCCCAGAAGATTGGTGCTTCACCTACACACCAGTATTGGGACTGAGACCAGGGAGGGGAAGGCTCCTTTCAGCCCAATCTCACGGTGACACTGGACTCATTTCCAGCCTGGTATGTTAGTTGTCCCCCTTGAGCCTTGAGCTATCACACGCTTCAACCCAGGCTAAACCTTTTGGTTCTATCTAGAGGACAGAAAATGAGGTAGGCGATTTGGCTCAGTGAGAAAAGGCTCCTGCTGCCAAACATGGAGACCCAAGTTCAATACCCAGGCTCCACATGATAGAAGGAGAGAACCAAATCTTACAATTTGTTTTTGATCTCTCCTGCCTTGTGTGTACCCACACATATAAACAAGTAAATGTAATGACAAACTTTTAAAAACAAAATAAAGTCCTGAGAGTCAGGTATATGTAGGCTATGACACAATGGGGCACATGCTCTTTCTCAAGGTTCCTACTCTGGGGAACACTAACTGGTATGTGGCTGGCCATCTAAGGGGAGGCACATATGGGAAGGAGCTGATGTCTCCACCAACCAAAAGAGGCCCCAAGGCTACTGCCAGTCACAAACAGGTCACCACAGCTAAGCCTACAAATGTGGCTGATATACTGGTTACAGCCTAGAAGCCAGAAGCAGAGCCATGGGCAGCCATCTGGCTGTTCCCAGTCCCCAACCCACAGAAACTACATCACGATAAAGATGATGGTTTCTGAAGGGACCAGTCCGCTGCCAGGCAGCAGAAAAGACTCAACATGTGCTTGCCTGACCTTGCCCCTTCTCCCAGTCACTAGGAGGTCAGACACACAAGTGGCAAGGAACCAATCAGAAGTTAGCTGACCTTACAGTAAAAATGGCATGACAGTGATGTGCTAAGCATAGCAACCGCCCTGGGAGGGCCTACAGGTCATAACAACCAGTTGACCAATCAACACAGGATAGGTCGTCCAAACCTGGAAGCGCACCAATCCTGAGACTGTTGCAGACCCCTAGACACTCCCCTTACACTGCCAATAAGTGTCCTACCTCGTGGTTTCTCAGGGTTATCTCTCCCGCCATCTGCCACGATAAACGGACGAAGGGCCCAAGTTACTGTAGTTAGCTTGTTAAATAATAAAAGACTCTTTGCTTTTGCATCAGAACGGGCCTCTTGATTTTGGGGTTCAGAATCTT